CACACACACACAGTGCGTGTATGTGTCTCTGCGTGCGGCGGCGATGATGAGCATGTAGGGGAATGAGGCGAGTGCGTGGAAGAGAGGGCATCGAATGCGTTAGGGCTTGTGACGTCAATGCTGTTTGCAAGGAGGAAGCTAAAACAACGAGGACGCAAAAAAAAAAATCATCAGAAAAAAGGACAATATATACAACCCCAGGCCGTGATATTTCATGTGATGTAAGTAAAAGTCTACAGGCCCATCAATACGCGTGTCTTTGTGTGTGTGTGTGTGTGTGTGTGTGCGTTGCTGCCGAAGAAGCCAAATTGGCAGTGCTGTTTCCTCGTCTCTCTTATTTCCATTTGTTCATCTCCCGGCTGGTTGGTTGTGCCCGTGATTCCGTTCCTGCTATCACTACTGCTGCTGCTGCTAGTGCTACTACGAAATATGTTCACATTCTTTTTGCTTCGTGTTTGCCTCCGCATATGTCTCTTTTGTTTTTTGTAGCTTCTCTGGTGCAGCTGATCTCAAGGCATCGTGGCCTGTTTCCACAAGACCCTCACATTTGCATCAAGGACGAAGAGTACTCTCAGCCTCCAACACTGACTGTCGCACCGGTACAATAAGAGGAGACAACGGTGAGAAGACAGCAAATAAAAGAAAAGGAAAGGAAAGCAACACGGAAAACCGAAGCCGCAGGAAACCAACGAACAAGCGGTAACTCCGACATACGCTGCCGTAGACTGCGGAAGACATAAATCATAAGAGGAGAGAGTGTCGCGCGAGTGTATTCATCCATATTGGTTAAAACCTCAAGACTTTACGCAGAAGGGGGTGGTTAGAGTGCCACAGTGATAGTCAAGAGGGTACCAACAGCATATCTTCCGGTCACAGCAATGCCATTGGATTCGGACCCGCGGAATCTCATAGTCAACTACATCCCAACTCCTGTCACGGATGCAGAGTTGCGGCAGCTCTTTGAGCAGTTCGGCGTCGTGGAGTCTGCGCGCGTCATTGTTGACAGAGCAAATAACAACCATCCAAAGGGGTACGGATTTGTGAAGTTCAGTTCGGAGATGGCCGCACGCGCTGCTATTGAAGGAATGAACGGGTTCCAGATTTACAATAAGCGACTGCGTGTGACCCCCGCCCGCGGCCCGCAGAACGCGCACACCAATAACGGCAACAACAAGCTGACGTCGCTGCTGCAGGCCAGGATGGGATCGCCGCACTCACCGGCGGCTTCTTCACCATCACCGCCGTCGCTGCCGTGCAGTGGCGGTAGCGACATGGGTCACAGCTCTCCCATCACGATGCCGATGCCGAGCTTCGCACCGTACCAGTTCATGCAGCAGCTGCCCACAAGTGCTGGCTCTGCCTCCATGACGCGACCCACCTTTGCCATTGTCGACGGTGTGCCCGTGCCGGTGTTTCCGACGTCGCAGACAATCATGACAGCACCGGCAGGTTCACCGTGCTCAAGCGCATTGACAGGATTCGTCTCGCAGAGCCCCGCCAATAGCACCAACACCAACCACCACATCATGACCAATGCCACGGACGGTGGCTTATTGAATATGGCTTCGCAGCCGCCTCGAAAACTGGAGGCACAACAACAGCCAGCATACTCTGCAATGGTGCAGCCGCTCTATTTCCAGCCCTTTCGCCCGTACACAACGGCTCATGATCCGTTAATTCAGGGAAGTGGTTCCTCCTACTTAACGTCAGTGACATCACTCGATATGAACAGCAACAGTGGCAACAGTAAGCCATTTGGCGCAAACGGTGCATTTTTTGTTGAGCCCACTGCCAACATCCTACTGATGTGACGAAGAAGGGGGCGGCACAGCAATAGCAGCCCTACGAAGGACGGTGGCGAGTTGGGGAGGAAGAAGAGTGGGCGAATGATTAGAACCAATACGGGGGAGTACACACGCCGACACATCCACAGCCCTATCTGTATGGATGCATTGTGACTAAAGCACAGTGAAGGCAGTGACCAAAAAAAAAAA